TTGGGAGAGAGGGATGTTGATCAACCCCAGGTTTTTTTCAATCGGTCATTTTGCGTTCACGGTTTCAACTTCTGGCACCCGGGTCGTTCTGAACCAACGGATTTTGTGTGCAGAGGGACGCGACCTGAGGTGAAAACGTGCAGCTACAGAGCCGCAAGCCCAGAGCGACCCGCGCGATGAGAGGTTCCTGTTGCAGTATGGGCGGCTTGGTGTTTTTTCCCCCCGGCTGCAAGCTATGGGGTCTTTGCCCGGATAGGCGATATGGGGTGGTTTGGTTTTCAGGGGTTCCAAACAAGAGCTGGAGTGGGTTCCGGGCTGTTGGGTCCGACGGTCCGGATACCACACCTGGGCTCAAACAATTGAGGGTTCGTTGGGTTGGATTCCGCTGGTAAATCTGCTTGGTTCTATTGAGATCCACAAGAGGGTTCCAGGACCAGAGGGAAGAGACGATGTGTTCCGCTATCCATGACCCCACAAGTCAATCCATAAATCAGTGAACAAGAATGGACACAGGTCGGAATCTTGCATTGTTTGGGCATTTATTCAATGATGTTTTGTTGGGTTTTGGAGTGTTCGCCGGATTTGGCGAGGTTTTGGTGCGTTGTGGTTGACTTTAACGAAGAATGGGAGGTCCCGTTGGTTTTGGAGTGTTCCTCAGACTTGGCGAGGCTTTGAATGGGAGGTTGGGCGTTGTGGGAGATTTGAGGCATGTGTGGGTCTGGAGAGTTTGCGCTGCTTTGGCTTAGTGGTTTTGTCTTCATGTTCGCCACCTGAGGGATACGGACGCAGGACACACTCTACAAACACACTCCAGCGGCGCACACACAATGACATAATGTCCATAGTGTGTATACATATATATATATATATGAGGATCGACCAAAAAAAACCCATGGCTTTTTGTTGTAAGGACTGAATACGAAAGCATATTCGGTGTTACGGCGCTGTGGTCGCGGAAGACCGCGGAAGGGCGAGCGGAAGTTTCGCGGAAGGCTATGTGTTATCATGGGATGACGCTTTACTCGTGTACTACACGAGTACTGAAAAGTTGTGCTGCTTGAGCTGGGGCAGCTCGTACTCTGCTAGTACTTGAAAGCTGCGATGTTTCAGCTTGGCTGTCAAAGTCAAAGTGTGCTTCATGTGTTGAGTTGTTCTGAGATGAAAACGATACCCCGAACAATACCTGCGCAACTCCGAAACGATACCGCGCAGTGCCTGGGGCCAACTGAGCTACCAAAGCGTTCTGGCATCATATTGTCGCCTGCCCACCCGTCTCGTCTTTCAGCGTGAGATATCACTTGTGTCTGCTGTCCGGCGCTGCTGCTCATTCTCTCGCCCAGGAGCTGCGTGCTGGCGCTCCAAACGATACCCAAAACGATACCAAAACGAAGCCCCCGGAACTGTGGCTGTCGCCGCGCGCGGGGGGGTGGCTGGCCAGGTGCTTTACGTAGCGTAGCTTGTCGCTTGTTGCCGCGTTCCTCCTTCCTTGTCTTTCTCCGGTGTTCTGCTGCTCCGTTTCCTACGTTTGCTTGTCCTCCTCCGTCCTTTTGCTCGTTCCTCGCTCCAATCCTAGTCTACTTCTTGCTTTCTGCACGAGCGCTTCCTCTTGGCTTGCTTTATTTTTACTTTTAGGAAACTTACTTATGTTCAGACACGTATCAGAACGTGTGGCTTTACCTGCATCACGGAAGTTCGCGGAAGATTCGCGGAAGGGCGAGGCGGAATGCGATTTTTGGAGCAAGGAATATAGGACAACCCTCTATATATATTTATATGAACATATATATATATATATACATATCTATATATATACACATGTATATATATATATGCATATATATATATACACATATATATATATATATATGTCTAAGAATATGTGTATGTGTATACATATGTAGTCGCTGTTTTTCTCTCTCTCTCTCTCTCTCTCTCCCTCCCTCTCTCCATGGTCAGCGTGGAGAAATTGAGGACAACTGCTCCCCTCGCCGCAGGCCCAGGCTGGCCAGTCGGAAGTCGGGTGCATGGCAGGTCATGAAACTTTTGGTTGGGGCCTTAGGGCATGTACTAACTACCACTACTAGTGCCCTTTTACCCTTTTTGGGGGAGGGTTCCCCTACAAAAACCGACTACAGAAAAAAAAAGGTACCCTTATTCTAACCTCCCTACTGGAAGGGTTAAGTCGCAGATGATTGGTAGTTTGAGGACACGGTTGAAGGCCACATTTCCCACCAACACAGGGCCCCAATTCTCCCATGTCCTGTTAGGGAAAATGCAATATTGCCCCGGGCTCATACCATGGTGAAAGCATCGAGCCTCATGTGTTTGAAGGGACGGTCAGGAAAGAGCCAGCACTTTGCCTCCAAGGTTTTCACGATAGCATAGGCCAATTTGCAGGCACAAGACCTATGAAGAGAACTGGGTCTGTCTTTTTGAGGGGACCCTCCAAAATGGCAGCTGTCCTGTTAGTGTCCGAGTTAAAGGAGTTACCCGCTCCCCCTCTTCATGGGGTCTATGATGAGTTGAATTCTGCCACTTGGGTCACTTGGGTCAATTGCAAGTCGCGGGATTTCGCATGAAGCTTCACCCCACCGGAGCAGCTGCTGGAAGCCGAACAGGTGTTTCTTGGGGAGCCTGCTGGAAGCCGAACAGGTGTTTCCGGAAACAGCAGCAGCAGCGCCCCGACAACGCCCACAGCGACAATGCCTACATCGATGCCTTCGACAATGGCTACAGCGATGCGAAATGACAATGCCACCAGGCCACTCAAAGCCAAGTTCCCCGCCGTCAGGGACGGTACCCTGGCGCAGTTGTGAAGGTTTGCCTTTTCCACTGGTGGGAGAATGAAGCCTTGCCCTTCTGGTAGTGTAGAACCCCTTGAAAAAAGGGAGGCCGTTCATCTCAGTGGAGAAACCAGGTTGGTCTTCTTTTGGTTTCCCCTAAGAACTACAGCAAAAAGGGGGCCCAGTTGAAAATCGGAGTGAGAAACACCCGGGTATTGATTTTCATGAAGCGGTGAACAACACAATTTCTGGTGGGGATCCAAGCTTAAGAGGGTGATTTCTGGGTCCAAGCTGGGCAAAGCATGGCCTGCACTTTTGAGGGGGGTATGAATTTTAATGAGGACCCAAACTGGACATCAAACATGGCGGGGATTCAGGTCCTCCACTTTTGAAGGGGTTGCCTCTTGCAACTCATGGCCTCTTTCCGCCAGGAGAGCCCACTGCAAAACCGCGTGGACGACTTGGTCCGCGGATGCCTTAGCGCCGCGAAAAAAGAAGGGGGCTTGCCTGTTCACCCCAGACTGGCTGAAAAGAAAAGGTTTTATGTTCCCTTGTTTCTTAAAGGGAATCGATTTCACTACCACCCGCTTCGATTTTCCAGCGCTGGAGGCTTGGGAGCAGTGGGATGCCTCCTCACGCATCTGTTTTTGGAGGAGGCGAGCCTTTTCAAAATCAAGATGGCAACACAACACTTGCTGGGAATGAGAAATGGAATGACCCCGGAAAAACATACCATCCCCTACGGTTTCCCTTTTTTCGGGAATCGCCAAACCCGGTTCGAACCCCCAACGCCCGGAACGGTCATCCCTATCGCCAGAACGCAAGAAAAGGAGTGACTTGCCTCTCATGGCCAGTGGGCTTCCGAGAAAATTTAGAAACAACCCTCTTCAAGTGGGAAGTGAGCCTCAACACACCGGCGCCCGTGGTTTACATTTTCGGCACCCGTGTTGAAGATAAGACGAATCAGAATATAAAGGCAGGGAATGAGTTGGAAAGTCCCCCGAACTGAAATATGTGCACGAAACTGGAAAACTATAGGACATAAATCAGATTTGAAAAAGTGGTGAGTGAACCCAACAACTGGTGGTTTCGTAGGGGACCACAAACGCTGCTCGGAACCAACGAGAATGGACCCCTCTTCATGCGAACCGCAAGCAAAGCCTAGATAGTGGAACCTTAGTACAGGACCATCCAGCCCAAAACCGCAGCCCTTTCGATTCTTTACATGGTTTTGGATAGAATTCTTCATTGCCAGCTCTGATCAAGTGTAGAAACTCTTGTTATGGGCCCCGCCTTGTTTCTGGGGGCCCTATTTGTTCAGCCTCAACCTGTTGGGCTCTCATAACCACCAGGGGAGATGTCCTTCCAAAAAAATCCAACACACTGGTTTGCGGAAAACATACTTCCCGGCTCCCCAAACAGGGTAAGGGACCGGCTCGATTCAGATGGCTATGAATTTTTACGGGGAACCTCCTGAAAAGTGGTTGGTGGCCATCAAGCCGCACCTAAACTATCACCAAAGCGCCCCTAAATAAACTTCATACCCAGATAACTGGAGCCAACTCAATTCAGACCTTCCTGGCGGGCAGTGTGAGGTTATGTTGCCTGTCTCTTGAAAGGCAGGCAGTCGGAACCGCGCGTGCGCGCCGTTCTTGTTTGGCTTCCATTTGTCCTTTGAACTTATACCCGGATGGGTTTCCCTTTGTCGGGTTCCCTTTTTTTGTGGCCCTAAAGGGTGATCACCTTTTGTGTTTGGGTCCAAACTGGGCAAGCAAATTTCCGCACCCCTTTGCGAAGGCATGGCATGTTGCTTGAGGTTTGGGCATCAGCCGGGCGACCCCAAACGGCTTCTGATCAAAGGGTACAAACCGCTTGCGCCAAAGGAAAGGTCGTGTAGCTGCAGGAACCCCTTCAGCGGGTCACCAGGGCTTTCCCTTGAATTACCCAGATGTGTGTTTCTCAAAACAGGGGATCCCCCCCAAAAAAATCCCGTTGCATGTCCCTTTCCATTTTCCACCGAAAGCGATGTGGCCCGTCGCACGACGCTGGCTGGCTTCAGGTGAAAACCTGCGGCTGCAGCGGCAAGGACGACGGAACTGGGGGGTGATATAAGGTTCCCAAAAAAATAGTGGGAATATTCTTTTGGGAACTGAACTTGGGAATTTTTGGGAACTGAACTTGGGAACTGAACTTGGGAATTTTTGGGAACTGAACTTGGGAATTCCTGGGAACCAGTGGGAACATTCTCTTGGGAACGGTGCACCTGGGAACCGGGGCACTGGAGGGCCTTTGAGTCTTTGAGTGAGATATTTGCTGGGCAGGTGTTCATTTCGTGGAGCCTGGCGGAAAATGTCAGGTTCGCCGTGACTCCTTGCACTTGTTGCCACGGTGCCCTGAGGGGACTTTCGGAAGGGGGTTCAGTTTTGGAAAGCCCCATGCATGGAAGCAGCCACCCATGAGACCATAGAGGGTCTTCCCAGAAACCTTTGGCAAGAATCGGCCTGGGCCTTTTGCTGGCTCCATGGTTTTACCATGAACAAAGTCACCTCATTGTCAACAACCCATGTTCTGACTTAGGCCCCAGAAACAATCAACACAATGACCCCAACCCCCCCCAGATTTCAAGGCCGCGATTTCATGGTTTCTGTCGGGCCGCGAGTGTCACCTTCAGGCGCTTCTAATTCCTTGGAGCAGCAAGAGCTTCAGGCAAGCGGGGCGGGGGGGGGGGGAAGGAGCGCTTGGAACGGTGCTTGACTCAACTGACTTGATGTGTTTTTTTGCCCTTGTGCGCTTCCTTCATCTTCCATTTTGACCAGCTAGACCAAATGATTGCGATTGTCCAAAATCATATATAGGGGGCTCTACTCCCCTGTCTTAGGATAGGGGCGTGCGTAACTTTGATACACGAAACGGGATGTTGAGCGCTCAGCTTCCATCGACAAATGACAACATGTTGGGTTGACGGTGGGGGTTAGCCCACACCAACATTCAGGCGCAGAGGACGCGAAGTCCGGAGTATGCAAACGCACCGCAAAGAACGGGTTGGTGGCCAACTGGCGTCTTCCAAGTGCCGCCAAACCCGCGTACTCGTGTTTAGGAACTCGGATACACAGCGTTGGCAGGCGTGCCACTTCTGACGCGCTTTTGTGGTCTTAGGCTGTAGATTGCTGCTCTTCGGGAGCTGCGAGAAGCCAAGCGAGGTCTGCGTGGTCTATACTGTGTTGGGCAAAGTCCTTGCAGACGCAGCTTAATCTCGAGCACAAGCGCTGCAGAAAGCCTCTGCACGTCCGCATGATGGGTCCGACCTTCTGAGAAGAGCTGGCTGCGCCTGAGCTACTTTTTCAGCAGCGCGCCCATAAAGTCAGCACCCTCCATGCGCTTGGGCTGCTGCGGCGGGCTGTTTGAGAGCGGAGCTTTAAGCTACAAACTTCATCTTTGCATGCTTTCTTGCTTGCACGCTGCGCGGGCGCTTTTCATGTTGGCGTCTGCGAGCTGCTGCGCGCACTCCGTCTACTTCCAGAATCCCTGATGGAAACACTTCTTCCTGGCTTTGCGCAAGCCGTGCCAAGGCTGTCACCAAACCACATTCTCGCGTTTCTGGCCAGTGATATGTCAATGTGTGGCTATATCTTGCAGTGCTTTGACAGAAGTCAAAGATGTCCGAACAGAACTACCCCCGCATACGCCTGCCAGAAGTCAGACCAATCCAACGTAACCATCCAACCCCACCCCCCCCCATCACCGACACTCAAGTCCGGGCCAACCCCCCCGGTCTACCCAACATGTTCAGTCGAAAAGGCTGTCCCGGATGGGGCTGTTTGGATCAGGACTGGCCGCCGTGGTTGTTTCTGCATCCTGCATGGCAACTGAAATCAGCGGGATCCGTCCATTTTCAACCAAAGTGACCTAAAGGGCGTGTCTCAGAGTGGGGCAAATCAAACGTGATGGTTTGTTCGTCTGATTTCCGGTGAAGCCTTGAAGAGTACCCACCAAAGGGCAAAAACGTCATTGGGGATGCGAATGAGTTTACTATGACAGTCCATGACTGCCAAAGGGCACACTCACCCATTCCAATCCGCAGGCACGCATGGAAGAGCTTCGGCGCGCGAGCCTCAGGCTTCCACATTTTACGTCTAAGCAGCAAAGGCGCCCATTTTCATGTGAATGCGTCTTTTTCTCAGGGGACCTCCCCAAAATGGTATTTTGTTTCCTTTGGGTTTCCCTTTGAATGGGGTACCAACTCCAAAAAAGACAAGCCACGCAGATACCTCTACATGATCGATCCCATTCGGTTCGGAGCCATAGCCCTCACCATGGGGTCGCGGTGGCTCCCCTTCAGTTTTTATTTGTTTGAATCAGTGTGCAACTGTGGTTTTCAACGAAGCACATCACCCTCACCCAAACGCTTACCATTGCGTACACAATGGGTTTGGCACAGCTTCCGCGAAACAAACCCGCAGTTCAACATCTGTGTTATTTAGGGCCGAAACCCGGTGTTTCCTGTAGAACCCGGAGCCCGTTGGGTGTACAGGGCAGAAAGCATGTCCTTCACCCTCAATCTACCCTTAAAAATGGGACATTGCCCCAATAGTTGTGCAATTGCCAACTTGTTTGGGTAGTTTTCTCTGATCAGGTAGAAGAAGCCACTGCCCCGGCCCGCCCTGGTGAAACTACATCAAGTCATACAGAGAAGAATGTGTGTTTGTTTGTAATGTGTCGCCCCGCCTCGAATAATCTCAAAAAGAAACCTGGAATTTCAGCAGCAAGTTTGATCCGACAAAAATGAGTACCAGTGTGTTGGCCTTTGAACTTCCTGGAAATGAAAGGGTACCCGTATTCTAACCTCTCTACTGGAGGACTCAGCCTGTGTTTTGAGGGCTATCCTATGTTAAGTGGCTCACTCTCCTTGGACGATCGACCGCTTTCAGGGCAGAACCACGAGCTGGATCGCCAAGCTCGGAATCGTTTGGCACTCGGCTGGCCCCCGATTCACCGTCTCAGCGGAAAGGAAGCGCGATGGGTCGACGTCGCAATCTGGGGTTTGTCTTTAGGGTAGTGTTCAACTTGAAGAAGATAGATAGGTGACCTTAGGAATAGTTGGTCTAATTTTGAATAGTTAGTTTAACTTAAAACCGTGAGTTTAACTTAAAGTTGTTAGTTTGTCTTTAGTAGTTGAAAGGTTACCACCACTATATCAGAATTTAATTCTAAAATTGTCAGTATAGGCAGGGCTTTACTTTTTGAGCCCCCCAAAATGCCGCAACGGTTCCTTTTGGTTTCCTTTTAAACTAATGCGGCCAGGGGTACCCTGCAATGATTTTGAATAGAGAACTCTCAAGTGTGAGTGGACATAACCCGCATGTAAATGGTGTCCACCAGGGGTCCCCAAGAACATGTCATGAAATGGGTCTGTGCCAGAAGAGCCCCGCGAAACACAGTGGTTCTCCGGTTTGTTTTCCTTTGAATCAAGCTGGAAAGGGTACCCTGAACAAGAACCACAGGGCCACTTGGATGGTTTCGAGGGGAAAGCATTCCAGAAGCCCATGTTAAGGGGCAATTAATTTTGTAGAAACACCCAATCTTGCTGCTGTGGTAGGTAGGGAATGACCGAGTCCGGGTGTTGGGAATGAACCGGAAGCGGATTCCCTTGTTAAAAAAAAGAGGGTCATTTGATTTCTCATTCATTGCTGAGAACCAGCCAGTCTTTTCCAGCAACTTTGATGTTCAATTCTACAGGCCGTGATTCCTTTCGCATTCGTTTCCACCACCGCCCTTTTCAAAAGCCAGCGGCTTCCTCTCGTTTTGGGCGAACTGTTGGAAAGAAGCACATGGAGAAGTTGCCCAGATCAACAGGGAAGGGTCTCGATGGGCCCTATCTGAAAGAATCGGACCATGGAAAGAAAGCCGGTAAGTTGAACCCAGAGATATTTCGGTCCGGTGTAATGTTCACCCCGGATCTAAGTAGAACCCCTGGTTGATTTTGATCGGGGGGTGTCTTCTTTTAGTGGGGGTTTATCACTTTTGGAGGGAACACCCCCCCAATAATGGGACGGGTTTATTAATCCTGGGTCAACATTATTATCCTTTGGCTGTTAGGACTTGAGAACTTTTTGCTATCTCATGGGTTTTCCGTATTAAACCACTAAAAGTTATTCACTTTTAACAGGGGCGCAGATTTCGCCACCGAGTTCTCCTCGCCGAAAATCGGCTCCGGTTCCCTTTTCCGGGTGCGGTCAAACTTGTGCCGCTGACGGCACTACTGGTCCCTTGCGTGAGTCGCCAGAGCTGCGAGGTGCGGCTTGTGTCAAAGAGAAACCACAAGACATGAGTTCTGGTGTTTCTCTTTCGGGGGGGGGTGGGGGGCGGGGTGCTAGTTTTGGAAGCGCCCATTTGTCCTTCGGAGATTTCCCTGACTTGCCTTGAGAAGCACCCATCGACCGCACCTGATGTACAGCTGGCGTTGCGAAGTTTGTTCTGAGTTTCGCACTTTGTTCAGACAACAAGATGGGGATGCTTCCCCAAATATGGGACTCCTTAGCCCCCCATTTGTTGCAGTTGCCCTGCTCCTGAGACCCCCTTGCAGCGTTTTTGTGCGCAGCTGTCTCGCCACGAGTTGCAACTGTGGAAGTCCAGTGCACCTGATGAAGTAACCCTTCCAAGTAGGTGGATTTGAGTTTGCATCCAGCCTATCGGCCCTAAGCTTTTAGCAGTTAGGAACAACACCTCTTTAGGTTCAACGATTGAATGCAAAGTTTTTTGGACATAGTCTATCTTGGGAAGCATCCTCTTGGGGTCTGAACAAAGTGTGTAGCTCCCTGTCTTTGGCTCGTTGAAGCGCTCAGGCGAGGCTCCCTCGCCACCGCAACGAGCTTGGCCTGGGTCGCCGGACACAGCCTCGGCACAGCAGGTGGCTGCGCTGCAGGCGGGGTCCGTGTGGTGAGGGGTGCGGAGGTTTATGGATCTGCCTTTTTTTCTCGCCGGTGCGATAGGCAGGGATCGACCGAGTCCGGGTGTTGGGAATGAACCGGTTTTGGGGATCCCCGAATCAAGGAAACCATAGGAAACGCCAAGTGCCCTAAATAGGAGGAACCGGCAACAGCAACAACAAAAACGCCAAGAACAATGCATACGAAACGCCGTGTAGAAGAACATGTTTTACTAAGACCAAATAAATAACAAACACATAAAGAAGACTATATAGCAAACCTCCACCGCAGCTCGTGTATAAATTCAACCTTCAAAACCCCTCAAAAACACCTTTTGTTGGGAAAGCAACCTTCTTGGTGTCCCCATTCGGTTTTCTTGGTACCCCCCCCCAAAAAAAAAAGGGACCGACCTTTTCTGGTTGGTTTCCCTTCAAGACCCATCAAAACCGGGTCCGCCAGACCCATTGACACGAGGGACTCCCATGTACCTTACGGCCCCAGCTGGAGCTCAGCTCACTCGACTCTCAGGCCAAGAATCAGGAGCTGCTCCGTGGGTGGCTCAGAAGAACTCCAAGAGAAGGAGCTTGGAGGTAAAATTCAGGAGCTTGACTGCTATGATCTTTAGACTGGTAACTTGTTGCTTGAAATCAAGGTGTCAACTTCAAATTGAAGTTCAAAACCTTAGCTTTTTGCAGGGGGGTGAACAGCAAGCGATGCTTTGCTGCTGGAATATGAACGATAATCCAAAAAGATCGGTTTTTGGTGCAAACAGCGTTTGAACTGATTGGGTTTTGGGTGTACCCCGAGCTTGGGCAATTAGTTGTTTTTTTCTTGCGCTGAAGTTTCATGACTTCGTCTGTGGGGACGGACCATTTAATGGCGGGGGGCCAAGGGAAAGAGTCGCCAATCACCGCTTTGGGCAAAGTCACCCTTGCCCCATTTTATACCCCAAAAAGGCGGCCAAAGGGCCACCATAGCAAATGAGCACCAACCCTTGTGTGGTTTTAGAAGGAAACCAAAAGGAAACCACCCACAAATGGCGTTCCGCCATTTTGATACAACTGAGTGTCTCAGAATTAGGAGGCTCTTCTTTCAATGGCTGCCGTGGTGGTGTTGTAGTACATCTTGGCCGGTCTACTTTGTAGCTGGTCATCGCAACTTTCAGTTGCTCAAGCCCAATTAGCTGCGCTGCGATGTGGACATCGCTCACTCAGTAGACATCAGACGCCCACCCTCGGAACTGTCCAAGACATTGCGGTGGCAGTCGCGTTGCAGTGGGTTAAAGGATGTCAATTGAAATCATGGCCGCAACTGTCAACGTTGTTCAGCGAGCCCCACAGCCAACTTGGCAAAGTGTTAGATTTGTACCTTCCAACGCCGCTAAAGCAGCGGTCCATTTTACATGGCACTGCCGCTGCAAAAAAGCCTCGGCGAAACACGAAAACATGTTAATTAAATTTCAATGAGCAAAGCACAACTACACCACTACTCCAGCCAGGCCAAAATCAGGCGCAGAACCTGTACACAATGGCGATACCGGCCCAAGCAAAATCACGACTGTTTCCACACGGGGAAATCGAAGCCGGCACTTTCGCCAGCTGCTCGTTTATGGTTCAGCCTTCTTTTGCTTGGGGATAGCGGGGGATGGGTGTGCGCAAGTCCAATGCAGCTCGATCCCTGAGAAGTGGGCTTTGCGTGTGAGAAGCCCCTGAAGTCGGAGGCGATCACGGTTCAGGCGGTTTTTATAGTAGAGATGGTGGCAAGCACATTCAAGTGAAGAGAGTGTGTATATATATATAGATACAGTTAGTTCAAATGTTTGAAGAGCATATATATATATACAGATACTTGATACTTGTGTTGTTTTCGATCTCGCTCCGGTGACATGCAAATCCGGTCGTTTTGGTGTTTGGCGGCTTCTGAGGCCTCGAAGCATGTCCCCTTGCATATGAAGAGATCACTTCGCATGTTCCGTTGTGTATGAGAGATCGCTTGATCACGTTGGCCTCCAAATGATAAGTGCACACGCTGATGTGCCTGCCAAATAAGCGCACAGCTTTTTGGAAGTTGCAGTTTGAAACCCCACCATGCTCGCGCTTCAAGGCGCCCAGCGCTTTTCAGAGCCCTCTGAAGCGGCTCCCAACTCGGGCCACGGTTTCCCGGCGACCGCCAGGCGAGAATCTCGAGCTGCGGCACGCGCCGAGCGCGCGCCTGCCACAGGCGCCGCCCTTCGGCGCGCTCCTGAGATCGGGGCGCCGGGCGTGGACAAGCCATGGATATGCGTCGAAATCGGGGGAGGAGAAAACTGGCGATGTTCCGTTGGACCAACCTGAAAAGGGGTGCCTTGCGGGTAAACTACGAACAAAGTCGAAGGTATGTTTGGTGGACGGATGGATTTATTCCTTGGTCCTGTATGAGTCCGGGATGTGGGACTGTAGCATATCATCCCTGTAGCTGTCCCAACCTTGGCCCAGAGAAGTTGGACTGAGCCTGCGCCTCTTCCAGGATTCCATTCAAAAGGTTCTCCCGGGTGGGCATGAAGCCCAAAATCGTCCACTGCAGAAGCATAGGCATCCACTCAGGAAGTGAGGAGAGGAAGAGAGGGGAAATCATGGTTGTTGTTCATGTTTGCTTATTGTGGTTTAGTGGGAAATCTCCACTTAACTGCTAAAATTGTTTTTGTTGCTCCCCTTCCAACGTCAACCAAGAATTATTGACCCTTCTTGGGATCCGGGCGACTCGAGGTGACGGCCAAAGCGCCGCGCTGCGTCGCCACGGGCAGGATTTGCAGGCGTTTTTTGTTTTGTTTTGCGTTTTTGGGCTTGCTGGAGCGAGAGATGCGGGGAAGGAGAAACGGGTATGGGTCAAAACTAAACAGGGCTCCTTAAAAGATCTCCATTTTGCAACCATTTGAAACATGTTGCTTTTTCCACCAAAATAAAGGGGCTTTAAACCAACAGGATATGGACCGCAGGTTTTAGTCCATGTTTCCATTTACCAGGGCAAGCCATTTTGGGTACCTTTTTCTTGTCCCACAGCCAAATGGAATGACCCCGGGACAAGCCATCTATGGTTTCCCAGCGGACCAAAGCCCGCATTCCCGACTGAGCACCAGCAAGCTGGGTGGTTTTTGAGAGAAACGAAGAGGAGCCAACCCTTTTGCGGGGGTCCGGGACCGTCTGAAACATACCCGTTTAATCCCGTTTACGTGTTTCACAGATGGCTTCGGTTGGGATGCTAGACACACACGTGAGCCTTTGGTGCAGCGATCGGAATCCGTTGGAACTTGTTTAGATTGCCCTGAGCAATGCCCGGATGGGGCAGGAGCACTGTTCTTGGCTCATGTGAGTATGGGTCAAAATTCAACCACCAGGGACCGCAGGTTTTAGTCCATGTGTCCATTTGCCAGGGTTCCATGTTAACTATTTTTCGGTGTCCCTTTCAGACCGTCTTGAAGCCACCCCGCTTGAGACAGAACGGACACAGCTCTTTCCCGAGGAGTGCACTGGCAACCACTGCAAGGTAGACTGATCCTTTTGCGGAGAAACCTGCCTTAGCCACAACATGGCAATGAAATGCAAAGGACCCTTGCGGATGGCAACATGCAACTAGCAATAGCTGATGCCAGCGGTCCGCGACGGGAGCGACACTCATCACCAGATTCCTGAGCAGGATGGACCCATTCGGCAACAAGTTCTTGTTCCTCTGGCCATTGTGTTTGGAGCGGGAGTATTAAACCCGTGGCAGTTTCTCCCTGCATGTTCCACCACGACAAGGACCGCGGCCAAAAGAAGAAGCAAGTAAAGAGTCATAAGATGGTTTGATGACCGGTCAGAATGTGATTAGGATTAGCAACGGCTTTGAGTCAATATGATTGTGTTGTGGTGGATCAGGTGGATCCCACGTTTGGCAAGGACCCCTGGGGTGCCTGGTGGACCCATGCTTGGCAAGGACCCCTAAAGTGCCCGCCTATACTCGCCACAACCAGGGTACTAAATTGTCCTATATGGACAATATTCTGTATCAGTTGCTGGGTGGGTAGCGTATGGGGGTTTACCCTCCCAAGTAGTACAGGATTTTGCCACAATATGTTCCACGGCATGTCTCTTGGCGGGAACGAGCCCGATGATTGTTCCTGTGATAGTTGTCCGGAGAGGCTTTGGACTCTGCACTTGCATATATGTGTGTGTGGATAAAATGATCAAAGCACCCATGCAATACTTGTTTAGGGGATGTCATCAAGTCTCTGGCAGGAATGTAGAGCCTTTTGAGAGCTCCTTCATCCCTGGAAGAGCCGCAATATAAAACCTCGGGTAGATGAAGGTTGGTAAGCGGCAGTCCCAGCCATAAATGAGTGCGGCTGCCTTTTAGTTTCCTTACGCAGATTTGTGTAGACCATTTTAATACCAAAGCGGCAGTCCCAGCCATAAATGGGTGCAGCTGCCTTTTAGTTTCCTGACGCGGATGTGGGTAGACCATTTTTGTACCAGGTTTTGATTGTGACTCAGACCATGGCACATGTAGCATGTCGCATGAATCCTCGGCAGACCTTGACTCAAGCCCGAACACGCGTATTGCAGGCACCACCACTCAAATCGCCAGCCTTCGGCCAAGAAAGCAGGTCCAGTCCAGCTAGAGCATCTCAGCCTAAAATGCCCCCCAAAAGACAACAACAACTTGGAATCTTCCAAAGCAGGGTTTTTCCATGTGCTCAGTAGATGGACTTAGCACGCACGAACGCGACAAGTTTTCTCAAAAGCCTTTGACGCCATGTCGGTCCGCCTGGCGATTGGCATCACGGTGTCCGTTTTGCTGGTGATTTCCATTTGGGCGGCAGCCCGAATGAAAGTCGGTAGTGAGGTTCGGTCGAAATTTCCAGTCTATGGTTTGTTAGGCACGAGGGGAACTCACCCATCTTTCCGCAACCCAAGCCTTCACTAAATGTCCCAAGTCTGGGGGGAACAAGTAATTTTTGCCCGCACCTAGAATGAAGTAGCATTTGTTGTTGCAATCATGGAACTGGGTTCGGTGTTTTTTCAAGAGGATGGTAGTCTTAACCCCGCCGACCGTCCACTTCCCTTCTGAAAAGTGGGTGTTTTGAAACAACTTCCACTATAGCAATCGCAGTTTATTATGATTGCTTGGTTTCCTCTTCTTCTTCTTCTTCTTCTTCTTCTTCTTCTTCTTCTTCTTCTCATCATCATCATCATCATCGTCGTCGTCACAGCCATGCTACTTATTAAGTATGAAGAGTAGCTGACTGCTCCAACCTGACTAGGTTTAGGAGTAGCAACCTTTCCCTTCATGTTGAATTTTGAGACCTCCCAAAGACCGGTTTGACAATGGGGGGATGGCCGGCAGATCGTTTCGGGTAGCTTCTCCAGAATTAGCTTTCCCTTTCTATTTCTTTTGCCTTTTTTGGGTCCCCTTTGTTTTCCACTCACCAGGCAAACCGTATTGTTTTTTGCTGCCTAATTCCAGCCAAGGTAGATGAAGGGACAGTCCCAGCCCAGAAGTGGATCCACTTCTTGATTCTTTGCAACGGGGTTTGGGTAGATCCTCTTGGTACCAGGTTTTGATGAGCACTCGAACTGGGCTTGCATTTGTGTTGCCGATCAAAAGGAAGACTCACATATCTCCATGAGTTTAACTCGAAAAAGGTTAGTGGACATGACCTGAATCAACACCAAATTCTGATGTCCGCCAAAGGATCCGCCAACGGGTCCCCCATTGACATTCACGCCCATATTTTTGGTCCCCGTAGTTTGACAAAGCCAACTGATTTCAATTGACTGCAAGGCTGAAAGCGGGAAGTCCTCGCGGTGCCAAGCTGTAGCAACCTGTGGGCGTATGGTTGATTTCTGCTCGGGCTGTTGTTCCCCCATATTGGCGACACTGCTCCATGTGTTGTCTTGTTTTCAGAAAGGGAACCTTTGAGTGATAGTTGTTTCTCATCTACCTCGAGGGCGGTTCGTTGTTAACTATTGATTCTGCTCATGTTTAGTAGGCTGTAAAGAAGAAGCTTGCCCAACATGGATTCAGGGGGGGGAGGAGCCCAAAGAAGCCCTGAATAAGGCCTTATTCAGGGAGGGCTTATTAAGGGGCTTAGTACGGCTCCCTCCCCCGCTCCCTCATGATGCTTGGGGTTCCAAGTCTTATTTCACGTCTGGATTTCTTTGTTGCAGACGGGCTCAGATCCTCACCTACAAGCGGGAGTGGTTGAAGGAGATCTTTGGCCTCAAGGGTAAGAAGACAGCAGATGTGGAGTTAGGCACCGCGAGCGAGCGTGAGGAAACCAAGCACTTCAAAGCGCACTTCCCTCAGGCCGTTGTAAACGTCACCATTTGGGCCACTGTTGGTTGACTTTCCTTTTGGGGTGTTGTTTCAGCGGGAACTATCGGGAGCTTTGCGAAGCCAAAACAGGACGAGCCATGTTTCTCGGGTTGATTCCTGATCCATTTTGTTCTTTTCAAACAGCAGCCCCTGCCGTGGCTCGTCATGTTTTGCGGTTTGCTGGAAAGAAGGATCCCTGAAATGGACCCGCTACTGTTAGAAAGAAAAACACCTCCCACCCATGGAAATCAGAAAGTTCCCAGAAGGGGTAGGGTCCAACATGTTTTTCCTAGCTGGGCATGCACGGAAGACGTGCTGTGTGCAAACTGGTGGTGGAGTTGACAAACATTTTTTTGGAGGTGATGTCAATCAAGAGCAAACCAGGCATTTGGAGGTGTCATACCCCAATCACTTTGCACTATTCAGTTGCCCAAAGCCGACCTTTTGACCTTTTGGTTTGCCCATTGTGGGTTCCCATTTTTAGTAGAGGTACCAAAAGGTGATCACCTTTTGTTTCCAACTCCTGGCAAGTGAAACTAGGCTGGCATGTGCAGGGCAGTTGACTGACGTGGGGCTGCATTGCAGAAGGCACCGCCCAGCGGTGTGAACTGGTGAGGATGGTGGCTGCTCGATCAACTAAACGTGATGGGGGCTTGGAGGGGAGGGGGAGGGAGCCCAAATACAACCTAAGTAAGGCCATATTAAGGGCTTCATAAGGTCTTGTTTGGGCTCCCTCTCCCCTTCAGCCCCCATGATGAGTGCCAAGATCAACACACCGCTACACTTAGTGAATGGGAACAACAGGAGTGTTCACCATGGCAGAGGTAGCGTTGGTGGCGAGGAAGCCCTTGATTCATTCAATGAATGCATGCACATGGGTTTTTGTGTGTGTGTGTGTGTCGTTTTAGGGGAACCACAAATGGTGATTGTCCTTTGGCGTTCCTTTCACAAAGCTCAAAAAGGTACCCGCAACACACACACACACAGGCACAGGCACACTTACACGCACACACACACACACACCATCCATGCATGCAGGCACGCAGGCACGCACGATCGCGCATACACACACAGACACACGCGCGCTCACACGCACACACCCACACACACACACACACATGGGTGCGATTGTTTGAGGCTTGTGCACCATTCAGCGTTTGGGAGGTCATTGCCAAGCATATGTTGTGCACCGCCTCAGCTGGAGCGGTGTGACTCTTCAGTCACTGACCCGGCAGGCGGAAAAGGACAGCCTGCTCAAGTCCATGGAGTCTTCGCTGAATTTTGGGTGTAAAATGCCCGGTTCAGTCGCACTTCCCAATCCCTTGTTGCTTGATAGGGGTTCCCTCTCACTACTAGGGTCACTGAACATCTGGGAATAGGTCCCAAATTGTTGGGGGGGGTGACCCTTTTGGACGGCATTGAACGGGGCAAAAAAAAAAGTGTCAGGCTTCCAAATTC